CTTCCATCTTTTGTTGTTGGATTCAGGGTTCTGCATGAATGTGATCCACTTGAACAACACCCAAAGTCTCTCCGTGAGCATGGAGACCAAACGCTTTGTTGCCCTAATCGAAACTGGTTTAGACTAAGATTGTTGATTGGTGGGAATAAGAAGGTTTCAGAAGGCTAACAAATACACCCCCAAACCCCAAACATCAGCAACTCTACATTTGCAGACGGATGTGCTTTTGGAGGATCGATGATATGGGGGTTGGTCCATATTCCTGGCCCCCAAGGACCATGGGTAACTTTTTTTCAATTCGTGGAACGTGTCACTTTTTTTAGTGGGTGTCCCCCAATGGTCACCCCATGCAAAGGACCTTTTGATCAACCACATCTCTGTGATCAGGGGGTGCTCTACTTCCCAAACTCCCATGCAAAGATGGCCACTCCATCAGCGCAACTCTGGATGCTCTATGACCTTCACTTCTTGGCCCCACATCTCTGTGGGAGTGTGCCTTGCTTTTCCGGAGGGTGGTGATCTTGGGGTGGTTTTCGCCGGCCGTTCTGTGAAGCCGAAGGTCCTGTGTTTCCGTTTTTCCTTCTGTCCTCAAGGGTCCAAAGCATAGGTGTCCTTGTTAGGGGTACCTTTGGTTAGAAATAGATGGGTTCCACTTGTTTGAGATTGGTTTTGTTCCGTTTTCCAGGCCCATCTCTATTTTTGCAACATCACACCTCTGGTCCAGAGCAGTATTGGGGTTCCAAACCGTGGAGGGGGGGGGGGGAGCTCGGCTGGTGGATGGCGTCCCGATGGGTTGGGCATATCTCAGGATTGACTACCCACAGAAGTGTGGCGCCGGCATGATTCTGTCAACACTACCGCGCTGCCGATGGTTCGTGGAGCCGCCTCTTGCGCCTACTTGTCCTGTGCACTCCGGCTAGCATGAGACCAATGGAATATGGAGGCAGCCATCTCTTGAAAGAACTAGATCGGGCCGGACTCCAGCAGCCGATTTTTCTAAATCGTTTGGATTCTTCATATGTACCTTTCCTGGCCGCAAGTGCTTAGCTGGTTCGCCTTCTTTGCCAGGTGACTCGCACAAGCTGCCCAAGACGCGGCTCATGCATTCGCTACTTGGCAGAAGTGGCGAGGTGGGTGCCTGCCGTGCTTGCATGTCTCTAACCTTCCCTGAAGCGAATCATAATTTCCCCACTTTATTTTTGTGTGTGTTTTTTTAGGGGGGCTGATCACATCATGAACACTTCTCTCAAATCTTCGGACCCAACGACGGGTCCGACGGGTCCGAGAGGCGAGAAAGGTGGACTTGCGGCTGCGTTCAGAAGTTCACTTGGCCGCGGGTCAAAAGTAGGGCAACCCCAGAATGGCTTGCCCGGGTAAAGGGACGCATGGACTAAAACCTGTCTTTTTTCATTTTTCGGTGATGAATTTTGAGCCATACCCGCTTGCTTCTGGGCCTTCAACCCTTCAGCTTGTGTCCCGTTACGCCCAAAAAAACACATCTCCTGACTGTGACAGTCCGCTGTTCCTGGCTCTTCCATTGGGTTCTTTTGGCTTCAAACCCTCGAAAGTGACCAGGAATGACGGGTTGCTTTTTAAATTCCACTGGAAATGCGTCTCCAAAAAGGGTCCCTGATTTTGACAAATACCTCACGAGGAAATATCACGTCACGGTCTCAGGGACTATATAAAAATGTTCCCATTGTGGCCTGCTTGGACCAAAAGCGGCAAGTTATAAGTTCAATGGTCTCATGAAAAGTGGGCCAGTTGGACTTAGCTTTTACCCAGTTAACAAGGATGAGCCAGGCATGTTTCAAAAGTGATCCGACTGCATGAGAAGTGAATGTCAACAGTCCAAGAAGAACCCTTTGTGGGAAGATAACCAGGTATCTCAAAAGAAGAGCAATAAGCCACAACTCTTCAGTCCCTAGTTTTGGCACATTCCCAGGTGGTTCTTGGGGGTTGTTAGCAATGTCTGGAAATCCGAGCGCTTTTCGACCGAGGCTGGTTGCCGGAGTGCCAAAGATTCGCACATGAGCCCAGCAAGTCAGCACCAGACGTTTTTTCCCCTCGTCGCGGCAACCCAAGGGAGCCCGGCTGGAAGTGACCTGAGCAATAATTTGCAATGGATTTTTACAGGTACTTGTCATACTAAGGTGAAACATGATTATCATGATGTTGCAAAGAGCAGGAGATCGACTGAGGGAGCCCTGTGTATCATACTCTATGGAAGATTACCTACCATTTGAGCTCTCTTGCCCTCTCACAGACTAGTCGCATGCTACTTGGTTGAGCTAAAGCTGTGCCGATATTGCACATTGACTGGATGCAACTCTTGACGTTTTGGTGCAGTTTTGTGGCAATGGTCTGGTTGCAACTCTGTACAACTCCCACTAAACGCTTGTCCAATGGTCCCCGGAGTAAGAAGATTCTTGGCACCTTGCAGGTTGGACGCCAATGAAGCCAAAGATTGTCTGGGTGTCCATTTAGATGCCGCAACCTTAGAGGATTTAGTTTGCGACACGTCGTAACAACCCAGAAATTGCGGTGGTTCTCGCTCCCTTGCCCTTGTCGCGCAAAAGCTCGTGGGTGATTTCTTGTGTCAAGTCTTTTCCTGAAGGCGCTGCGGCCATCTAAAGCGGGGTGCGCCGCCTCCGAGGGCCCTCTGATCTCAACTGGTGGAGAGGATCCCATGTCCTTTCGGGCCAGGAACACCAAGCGCATATGGCCATGGGTCAAAACCCCGTACCCCCAGTGAACATCCCAATCCCCACTAAAATAGACTAAAATGTGTGGTGCACCTATCCCAAAATGGTACCATTGGTTTTGAACCATGGCCATATCAGGCTGTTTGGCCAGTTGTTCCCGGGAAGAGGTTTGTGTCACCCGCTCCGTGTCACCCGTCTCTCATCTGCCCGACGAATCATGCTGGGCCAAGTAAAGTGAGTGGGAAGCGCGCTTCGCGGCCGGCGCCCTCCATAGCGCTTCCCCAGAATTAGCTCCCCTTTTTGCTTTTGTGCTTTTTTGGGGTCCCTTTGTTTTCCACTACCCGGGCATTTTTTTGTTTTTGCTGGGGTCCTATTTCCAGCCTGGAGCGCAAGGCTCAAGTATTTTGGTGGGGCAAAAGTATTACTGGAGGTGTCCATTTTCTGTGCCTGTTGCTCGCTTGCTTCTGTTCCCGTCTCGCTCATGTTCCTGTTGGATGAGCCATCTGCGCGGTTCCTTGGTGGGAGGTGGGCTTGACTTCGAGTTGCGGCCCCTAGATTGAGTGCAGGGCAACGGGAGGGGACGCTGGGTGTTTCCGCCCGTGTTTGGGGGGAAAGCCACAGGTCAGCGTGTTCCGTGTTGGATCAAGGGAACCCGAGCAAAATCGCAAGACCTACAGCTGCGAATCGCTTTCTGTGGCCTGACCTGCCGGAAGCGCAGACTGGGTTCCCTTCTTAAACCTCTGTGAACCGTTTCTGTCAGTCTTGTTTCGTTTCTTTTGCTGAATTGCTTTGCCTTATATGGTGCGCTGGTTCAGCTGGCTGAACTATGGGATTTCAGGATGATGGGATTTGGCAAGGAGAGGGGCCTCACATGCTCTCCAGGAAACCTTCATGTTGCAGACCCGCATCCGCAAACAAGGTAGCCGGCTGTCTTGCCGCCCTTGCGAATATGCAATTGACATGTTGAACATTCCCTGCGTTTTACAGTGTGTTCTGGTTTGTCTTATTTTGGGGGCTTCTGGAAAAAAGTGCATGCCAAAACTCAAACCCCGCCAGCTTAAATCAGTGAGCGTGTGAAAGAAAACCGCCGTTTCGAAGTCACGAGCATGCGCCAGTGAGCAAGCGACAAGCGTAGTGAGCAAGCGACAAGCGTAGCTGATATACAAGTATACAGAGCAAGCCATCAACATGCTCCAAGAAAGTCTGTCTGCACTGAGACCCCGCCATGAGACAAGTCGGGAGAAGCCCACCGTGAGCTCATGTATGTAGAACGCTGAGATATGTGCCAGCATGTACGACACAGGCAGCCATGCATCCCGTGGACAGCGATTGCGACGCGTAAAAATTGGTAGACTATGCCACAAATAGCAGTACATTTGCAAATTCCTGCACGAATTTCACGGAAAAACGGACCGACAACTGTGTTTTGGGCTCATGAGTGGCCAACAAAGAAACGGGAGTTTGCACGCAAAAGCATGGAATGAACGCTGGTGTGGAAGGAAAAAGCTTAAAAAAACGCAGGGCTTTTGAGAGTCCGCATCAAGAGAAGGGAACAGGACAAAAACAGTAGCCAAAAATAGGGTTTGGGCGACGGGCCAGCCGGCTGGCGCAAACAACCACAGGCAAAAATCAATCATCATCAGTTGCAGGATTGCCCTGTTTGGGCATAGCTTGGGAAAGGACAGGCTTGGATTGTTTCTGGGGGAGTCTTGCAAGTTTGGGGAGGGGAAAGAAAATCGTGTCTGCAACCGTAGATCGAACGCCGCGCGATTTTGGGGTCAAATTTAATGCTCCTTGAGCGGTCGCTGTGTGCAGTTTCTATTTGACGAGTTTTCCGATGCACAGTGGTTGGGGGACCAGATGGCCTGCAGTGGTTGAACCGCTGCCTCCAGTACATCATGCCGCCTGGCCCCAAAGCTGTACAAAACACACAAAGTCACGCCAAGAGCATTGAGCATAGCGCCTGTGGCAAGAATATTTGCGTGGTAACCAGTGCAGGGTCCAAACAGTCCCCATGCTTCTGAAGATGCTGCGCGCTGGAACCATGAGAGCACAGGTGGCGCTCATTGTTCCCAGCCCAACCGTTCATATGGTGAAGAGTTAGCCAACTTGAGCCCATATCCTGATTTTTCAGGCGGAGTCGAGCAGGGACTCTGAGGTCGCTCGCCCAAAACCACCAGGCAAAGTCGCCCTTTCAGGCCCAACGGGCTTCCCACTCCAAGCAATCGGCGTCCAAATTGGCCGAGCAATTTCGCCTCTGGGCGCCGCGCCTCGCTTTGCTTCCGATGGCATGCCATGGCTTCAGAGGGCCAGGACCCCATCATGCCGTAGGGCGGGCGGGAGTGGGGCGAAGGTCACCGTTTGCATAGAGGTTGGTCAGAGCCAAAATTCACCTTTGGAACTGGCTACAAAGAGCTGGTCAGGGTTTAGATTGATCATGTTCCCCCTGGTCTCTTTCAAAACAGCAACAGTGCAAATCTGGGCACGCTGAGGGCCAAATGTCTTTTGGCAGCTGCCTTCTCAGAGGATTCGTTGCCTTCCACAGGTTTTCCGAACGGGGTGACACGTGGCGCCTGCCATTTTTTGGCAGTCTTCCGCACGACGAGGGGACGCGAGGCCTCTGTAAAACCAGGTAAGAGCTTTTGGGAGGTCTGACATGCCGGGAAAATCGGTGGAACAAAAACAACAACACGGTCCATGTGATGATCACCTTTTTGAGTCCATGACTTGTTATTCCTTGAGGGTTTCATCAATTCCAGCCGGTCAACCCAGATGAATCCTGAGTCAATCCAAGCCGAAACGGTGCGCCGAGACCAAAAGTCCCACGGCGCGAAACCGAAACTCACCGCGGGACGCTTGAGCTTGACCTCTCGCTCAAACTGCAGCTGTATGGAGCTTCAATCCCTGGTTTTGCTTATTGGGCGCAGCCAGCCCTTTGCCATGGAGACGGAGGATGTGGAGGCCCTTTCTCGGCTCTCCAACGAATTGGGGGAAGGGGGACTTGAGATCACAAGTTTAAAAAGCTCGGGTAGATGAAGATTAAGGGAGAATTCCCTGGCCATAAATGGGTGCGGATATCCGCCATTGAAATTCTTGAAGCGTTCCGGGTCCATTTGGATGCCAGGTTTTGACTACTCACCTGGGTCGCAGCTTTGTGAGCGACTTACGAGGGCCCCGTTCCAGGAAAAAGGGGCTCTTGGCGACAGCGTCTGGTTTCGCTGCCAGATGTTCAGTCGTTGGTGAAAAGGCCCGAAATCGGAAACCGAGATAAACCGAGGTTCCGCCAGATCCCAAGTAGCGTCAGGGAAAACGAGCCAAAAAGCGCAGATGCGAAAAAGCCTCAAGTCCGCCAATGGCTCTTGACAGGTCCTTAAGGGTGGAATTTTCGCCCCTTCCAGGCCTCGAAGTTTTCGGAGCAAAGCGTCCTCAGCGGCGTCCTTGGCTAGGCGCGGGGTGAAAGAGGGGGCCACCGGCAGTTGGACCAAGTTGCAGAGAGCCTCCCAAAATGGGACTTCTTTCGGGCAATCAAACAAGATGCCCGGAATCCAAAGCGCCAAGAAGCATATTTGCGAGGGTGTGCTCCCCCCTTCACGTGGGCGTTGTAGGCTCGTCTGTACGGGTGTTTTGACCTTGATTTGAACTCGGTTGGCATTTGTTGCGAGGAGTAGCTGGCGAGTCCCCAAGTATCTGGAGAAGTCATAGTGATATTATTTTGGTACTGCTCTATCGACCGTGGCCGTCGAACCAGCTGTTTCTTTCTAGAAAGTGAGTAGCACTTGGCGTTGCTTTGCATGCACCCCAGTTAGCAAATGGGACCAATTGGCAACAAATGTAAGAACTATAATTTTAACGCCTCCGGCTCAGGCCGCCGACATTACAGGCCTGCTTTCTTATTTGCGTCCCTTTGGAATTGTCCCCTTGCCCCCCTTCCCCTCTAAGATTTTTGCCCCCCTTTCCCTGTTGAGATCCAGTCCCCTTTCCCCCCTAAGGCCCTTTCTCCCTCTCTGATTTTTCCCTTTTCCTCCCAAAGATGTTTTCCCCCTTCTCCCTGTTGAGATCCTTTCCCCCCTTTCCCCTCTAAGGCCTTTTCCCCCTGAGATCTCCCTTTTCCTCCCAAAGATCTTTTCCCACCTTTCCCTGTTGAGATCCTCCCCCCTTGTCCCCCCTAAGGCCTTTTCCCACCCTGAGTTCTTCTCCCTTTTCCTCCCAAAGATCTTTCCCCGACTTTCCCCCCGAAGGCCTTTTCCCCCCCTGAGATCTTTTTTCCCTTTCCTCCCTGAGATCTTTCCCCCCCTTTCCCTGTTGAGATCCTTTCCCCCCTTTCCCCCCTAAGGCCTTCCCCCCCGCTGAGATCTTCTCCCTATTCCTCCCTAAGACCCTTTGCCCCCTTTCCCTGTTGAGATCTTTTTCCCCCTGTCCCCCCTAAGGCCTTTCCAGATCTTCTCCCTTTTCCTTCCTAAGATCTTTTCCCCCCTTTCCTTGTTGAGATCCTTCCCACCCTTTCCCCCCTAAGGCCTTTCCCCCCCTGAGAGCTTCTCCCTTTTCCTTCCTAAGATCTTCCCCCCCCTTTCCCTGTTGGCATTTTTTCCCCCAGATCTTCTCCCTTTCCTCCCTAAGATCTTTTCCACCCCTTTCTCCCCTTTCCCCCCCCCAAGGCCTTTGCCCCCAGATCTTCTCCTTTTCCTCCCTAAGATGTTTCCCCCCCCTTCCCTTTTCTCCCTTTCCCCCCTAACCTTTCCCCCCCTGAGATCTTCTCCCTTTTCCTCCCTAAGATCTTTTGCCACCATCATTTCCCCCCTTTCCCCCTAAGGCCTTTTTTTCCCCCCGCGATCTTCCCCCTTTTCCTTCCTAAGATCTTTTCCCCCCTTTCCTTGTTGAGATCCTTTCCCCCTTTCCCCCCTAAGGCCTTTTCCCCCCAAGATCTTCTCCCTTTTCCTCCCTAAGATGTTTTCCCCCCTTTCCCTGTTGAGATCCTTTCCCCCCTTTCCCCGCGAAGGCCTTTCCCCCCCTGAGAGCTTCTCCCTTTTCCTTCCTAAGATCTTTTCCCCTCTTTCCCTGTTGGCCTTTTTTCCCTCAGATCTTCTCCCTTTCCTCCCTAAGATCTTTTCCACCCCTTTCCCTGTGGAGATCATTTCTCCCCTTTCCCCCCTAAGGCCTTTGCCCCCAGATCTTCTCCCTTTCCTCCCCAAGATCTTTTCCCACCTTTCCTTATTGAGATCCTTTCCCCCCTGTCCCCCCTAAGGCCTTTCCCACCCTCAGTTCTTCTCCCTTTTCCTCCCAAAGATCTTTCCCCCCCTTTCCTCCCTAAGTCCTTTTCCCCTTGAGATCTTCTCCCTTTTCCTCCCCTAAGATCTTTTCCCACCTTTCCCTGTTGAGAGCCTTTCCCCCCTTTCCCCCCTAAGGCATTATTTTTCCCCCCGTTCCTTGTTGAGATCCTTTCCCCCCCTTTCCCCCCTAAGGCCTTTCCCCCCCAAGATCTTCTCCCTTTTCCTCCCTAAGATGTTTTCCCCCCTTTCCCGCTTAAGATCCTTTCCCCCCTTTCCCCCCTAAGGCCTTTCCCCCCCCCCGAGAGATCTCTCCCTTTGCCTCCCTAGGATCTTTTCTCCCTGTCCCTGTTGAGATCCTTTCCCCCCCTTTCCCCCCGAAGGCCCTTTCAGATCTTCTCCCTTTTCCTCCCTAAGATCATTTGCCCCCGTTCCGTGTTGAGATCCTTTCCCCCTTTCCCCCCTAAGGCCTTTCCCCCCCTGAGATCTTAAGGCCGTTTCCCCCCCTGAGATCTTCTCGCTTTTCGATCCTTTCCCCCCCTTTCCCCCCAAGGCCTTTTCCCCCCCCCCTGAGATCATATCCCTTTTCCTCCTTTTTCCTCCCTAAGATGTTTTCCCGCCATTCCCTGTTGAGATCCTTTCCCCCCTTTCCCCCCTAAGGCCTTTTCCCCCCTGAGATCTTCTCCCTTTTCCTCCCTAAGAGCTTTTCCCACCTTTCTTTATTGAGATCCTTTCCCCCCTGTCCCCCCTAAGGCCTTTTCGCACCCTGAGTTCGTCTCCCTTTGCCTCCCTAAGATCTTTTCCCCCCTTTCCCGCTTAAGATCCTTTCCCCCGTTTCCCCCCTAAGGCCTTTTCCCCCCAAGATCTCCACCCTTCTCTTCCCAAAGTCTTTTTCCCCCTTTCCCGTTTGAGATCCTGTCCCCCCATTGCCCCTTAGGGCCTGTTCCCCCCGAGAAAGATTTCCCTTTTCCTCCCAAAGATCTTTTCCCCCTTTCCCCCTTAAGGCATTTTTTCCCCAGATCTTCTCCCTTTCCTCCCTGAGATCTTTCCCCCCCTTTCGCTGTTGAGATCCTTTCCCCCTTTCCCCCCTTCATTTCCTTCACCAGCATGGGCAACATCCCCAGCATCACTTGCATCATCTGCATCCTTGGCAGGCGCTGATGCGGATGATGCAGGTGATGCTGGCGATGTGCCGCTGGAGCTGCTAAGGATGCGAAGGGGAATCGAACACCCCAATGCTTTTGACAAACTGAGTTGCACAAGCCCGCACAATGAACAGATTTAGTGAAGCGTCTTCGCCCCCCCCCCTCCCCGCAGCAGTCTGGTGCCCGTGGGGAGGGGTAAGGGAAGGGGTAACAGGTAAAGAGGTAAGGAGCATTTCTTATGTCCAACACGCCGTCTGTTGTCGGCGGATTTCCTTGTTTTGCTTTGTGTTTCTCCTATTTTATTATTTTTTCTTTTTCTCTTTTTCCTTCTCTTTCTCTTTTCCCTCTCTTTCTCTTTCTCTTTCTCTTGCTCTTGCTCTTGCTTGTTCTCTTTCTCTTTCTCTTTCTCTTTCTCTTTCTCTTTCTCTTTCTCTTTCTCTTTCTCTTTCTCTTTCTCTTTCTCTTTCTCTTTCTCTTTCTCTTTCTCTTTCTCTTTCTCTTCCTTCCGTCTCTTCTTCCGTCTTTCTTTCCGTCTTTCTTTCTTTCTTTAACTGTTTTTTCCCGTCTTCCTTTCTTCCTTCCTTCCTTCCTTCCTTCCTTCCTTCCTTCCTTCCTTCCTTCCTTCCTTCCTTCCTTCCTTCCTTCCTTCCTTCCTTTTTTTGCTATCTATGTGTCTATGTGTCGATTTCAGCTTTCTTCTAATCTATCTACCTATCATCTCTAATCACAATGTCTTTCTTCATCTTTCTATCTGCAGCAATATTTGTCCATCTATCTATCCATTCCATCAGTCTATCTTATCATTTGCTATTATCTATCTATTTGTCTATCTTTCTGGCTATCTATCTATGTAGTCTAATCCAATCTAATCTAATCCATTCTAATCTACTCTATCCATC